CGTTCCGTTCACAATTAGGACTTAATTTTTGTATATGTGTATCTTTAATATGTCTATTTTTAATAACAAATTTTTGAAATTATTAATATATTCACAGAACGTGAATAATAAATTATTTCTCCAAAATAATTCTAAATATTGATCACTCAGAAAAACAAAATGCAAAGAGGTAATAATTGATGAGAAAGCAAAATGTTTAGTAAATTTTGCAACCATGGTACGGATCTTCACTTTGAAAGGTAATGTCCAAATAAAATAATTTATTTACGATTTATTTGCCTATAGTCAATAATATTGTCTATTTTAAGCATCTACAAGTTTTTTTCAACAAATTTCTAGTCGGTTTGTGTTCTGGCTAAAAGTTTAAATCTTTGCTTGTAGAAGGCAGAAATTGTAAAAATAAATAGTCAGGTGATTTGTTTTCATTTTTTTGTTGAAGGAATTTGCAACTAATAAATAAATTATTAATTAATTAATTTATATGTTTTTGTCTGCTATTATAGTTTTAAACCCTTAGCCAAGACCCGAACCAATATTGGTGTAGATATTTGTCAATAAAATTTAGTAATACGAATATTCTTTATTTAATATAATTTAATAGTTGTTTTTTATGTTGAAGACCAAATAATAAAATAAATAGAAAATAAAATATATTTGAAAAAATATATAACTAATCTAGAAATAAATATTAACTAAAATTAAATAACTAAACCAAAAAAATTAACTAAAACTTAACTAGATAAAATACTTAATAAAATAAATTAATAAATTACTAATGAAATAAAATTACAACTATATAATAAATAAATATAAAAGCACCTGAAGTGCTGGCAAGAACCAAAGGCTATAGTTCAATTTTTTGACGTCTTTAAGGTGTTATATAATATATTAAATATCCAAAAATAAATAATATATTTGTTAATTTAATAACTAAGTACCTCACTTACTTAATTTAATAATAAAAGCTAATTTCCTAATAATAAATAGTATTACGATAAACAAAATACACCTAAAATTATTTATTCATAAGGTTTTTGAGTGTAAGTCACGGCAGCACCGTCGATATCATGGTTCAGAACCACTATTAACTTTCAGTTTTCAAAAATGAAAATTTGGATTAAAAATTCAAAAAATTACCCAGGCTAAGCTCAATCTAAGCGCCACTCTGGTAAAAATGTTTACCAAGGCGTTAGACTGTTTTTTTTATACTGAAACACTTTTACAATTTTGTGAGAAAACTATTGAAAAATGTGAAAATGACGCCAAGCTGAGCACAGTATAAGTGAAATAGTCGCACCGAATTATTTGCAAATGCGTTTAGACTGTGACTATACGGGAGCACTTTTTCACTTTTTGTGCAAAATTGGCAACTATTTTTTTTTTTTAATATTGAATTTGAAATGAAATGACTTGTTAATGTTCCGGGAGATAAATTGATTTACGATTTTTTCATTTAACAAGATAGCAAAATAATGAAGTTACAGTATTTGTAATAATATATTTGAAAATGTTTGAAATTTCTCGCATATTTCTTTACGGTACGGAAGTTCCAGCAATTTGCCGTAAGTCACGATGCCATAACAACTAGTTAAATTAACCAATTGACATCATCAAATAACTAGCAAAAATTAATCAATAATTATAAGAACTACAATTATAATCAATACGCATATTTTAGAATTATTTATATTAATTCACAACTAATTTTTATCAATGTAAATAATAACTATTAATATAATTGATAATTTTGTATATTATTTGGTGTACAACTTTGCTTTCGCCGTTTTTACAAGAAGAGTTCTTTACAATAATGGCGGCAGCAAAGTGTACATCTAATATATTTCCGATCAAATTTTAGGGTATACCGAGTTGTGTAGGTTCTAAATGATGTTAGATAATATGTCAATGATTTAATTTTAAACAATTTGCCGAAGGCATAGTTCATTTTAAATAAACGGTTAGAAGTTACAAGCGATAAAATAAAAATATGCACTTGATATACTAAAACTTAAAGTTTGTTAGGAAACTAGAGTACTTTATACTCAATTTTTTTCGCTCAATTGCAATTTTAAAGTATACCGAGTTGCTTTAGAGTGTGACTATCTTAGACAGTATTTAGATAATTTAATTATGTATAAATTTGCCGAATATTTTGATTAAAATCAGACTTATCGTTTGAAAGTTACAAGACATTGTATAAATCAATTTATAGTCTGATGGGTGTAATGAGGTGTCGAAACGTTTCGCGGTAAATATATCGTGTTGGGTCTCATTTGAAAGGTCTCGATAGAATATATTCAAATCTGAAATTGACTGGCATGATAAAACAATAGGTTAGTAGGATATCACGGCAGTAGTATATCACGTGCACTTATTTTTTTACCTCATTTTTAAAATATTTCCTATTTTTTTTTTAAATTGAATTGGAAATGCAATGACGTTTGTTAATGGAGATAAATTGATTTATGATTTACATTTGATTTGCTCAGATATAACACGATAGCAAAAATACGAATGAAAGTTACAGCATTTGTAATAATACATTTGAAAACGTTTAAAAATTTATCACCTTATAATTATTTATTACATTCATCCATCCATTCCACCTATCACATAACCTCACAATACTTTTCAATTCTTGTCTAAAAATTTATCACCTGTGATACCTGGTATGATATCCTGCCATATGTCCTCCATATCCAGGATTATCATAAACAACATTTGCCTTGTCGTCATTAAAGGCCATTCCTCTGATGAAGGAAAACAAGGCCATTCCAAAGGCTATGTTGTTTATAAGGCCAATTTTGGCTGCAGCAAACATCATTCCTGGCAGGAAAAACGGAAGGATTGCTGCCAGGATTAAAGGTTTTACCAGGATGAAGGCTATGGCGTATTGGAGACCAGAGTTGCCTTTGTTTTTTTTGCCTCGGGATTCCTGGATAGAGGTTGTACCTGGAAATTAAAAATTTTGTAAAATTTGTGGAAAAATAATAATTTTCAATATATATATATATATATATATATATATATATATAAATATATATATCCTTTATTTTAAGAGGGGTCGAGTTCTGAAATCTAATATTTTGAGAAATATATTTTCAAATATATCTTTTTAAATATATTTTCAAAATCCAAAAATATTAAAATTCTACTAATCCTAATCCAAAAAATATCCAAAATCCAGGTTCAAATGTATTAAGGTTCATACAAAGTAAGAACTCGAAAATTTTATTTTAATATTTTATGTAAAATTGCAATATTTGCAATTTTTGAAATTTGAAATTCACAGTAATTAAATTTGCAATATTTGAAATTCTTGAAATTTCTTGGATCTTAGATTTCTAGAATGTGAGATTTCTGGAATGTGAGATTTTTGGAATCTGACATTTCTGGAATCAGAGATTTGTGAAATCTAAGATTCGTGAAATTTGAGATTTGTGGAATCTGAAATTTCTGGAATCTCAGATTTCTAGAATCTAGGTTTTTGAAATGTTGGATTATTGGAATTTAGAATTTCTGGAATCTAGATTTCTGGAATGTAGGATTTCTGGAATCTAGCATCTCTGGAATCAGAGATTTCTGGAATCAAAGAGAGATTTGATATTTTGTGAAATCTAAGATTTGTGAAATCTAAAATTTGTGAAATCTAAAATTTGTGAAATCTAAAATTTGTGGAATCTAAAATTTGTGGAATCTAGGTTTTTAAAATGTTGTATTTCCGTATCTTGGATTTTTAAAATTTAAAATTTCTGGAAATTTGAATTTCTGGAATCTAGGATTTCCGGAATTTAAAATTTCTAGAACCTAGAATTTCTGGAATCTAAGATTTTCGGAATTTAAAATTTCTGGAATCAGAGATTTCTGGAATCTTGGATTTTTGGAATCTTGGGTTTTTAGAATTTAATATATCTGAAATCAAAGATTTTTGAAATCAGCGATTTCTGGAAATTGAGATTTCTGGAATCTGAGACTTCTGGAATCTAGGTTTCTGAAATGTTGGATTTTTAGAATCTAAATTTTTTGGAATCTTAGATTTTTGAAATTCAAAAATTCTGGAATTTAGAATTTCTGGAATCTAGAAATTTTTGAATCTTGGATTTTTTAAATTTAAAATTTCGGGAATCTAGAAGTTCTGGAATCTTGGATTTTTGAAACTTAAAATTTCTGGAATCTTGGATTGTGAGATTTCTGGAATGTGAGATTTCTCAAATGAGATTTCTGGAATCAAAGATTTCTGGAATCAAAGATTTCTGGAATCAAAGATTTCTGGAATCAAAAATTTCTGGAATCAAAAATTTCTGGAATCAAAAATTTCTGGAATCAGAGATTTCTGGAATCAGAGATTTCTGGAATCAGAGATTTCTGGAATCAGTGATTTCTGGAATTTGAGATTTGTGGAATTTGAGATTTATGAAATCAAAGATTTTTGGAATGTGAGAGTTCTGGTATCATAAATTTGTGAAATCTAATATTTGTAAATTCTGAGATTTGTGGAATTTGAGAATTCTGAAATTAAGAATTTCTGGAATCAGAGATTTTTGGAATTTGAGATTGCGGAATCTAGGAATTCCGCAATCTAGGATTTCCGGAATCCAGGATTTCCAAATCTAAGATTTATGGAATCTTGGATTTTTGGAATTTAAAATTTCTGGAATTAAGGATTTCTAGAACCTATTATCTCGGGAATCTTGTATTTTTGGAATTTAAAATTTCTGAAATCTTGGATTTTTGGAATTTAAAATTTCTGGAATCTAGGATTTCTGCAATCTAGGATTTCTGCAATCTAGGATTTCTGCACTCTAGTATCTTTGGAATCTAGAATTTCCAAAATCTAGGATTTTTGCAATAAAGATTTTTAGATTGTAGAATTTTTCAAATCTAAGTTCCAAATGTTGGATTTTTGGAATCTAGGATTTCCGAAATACAGGATTTTCGGAATCTAAGATTTCTGGAATCTTGGATTTTTAGAATTTAAAATTTCTGGATCTAGGATTTCTGGAATATAGTATCTCTGGATACTAGGATTTTTAGAAGGCAGAATTTTACAAATATAGCATTTGAGTAGAGTTCCGGCATTTCTAGAGTACAAAATTTTCAAAAAATCTAATTTCTGAATCAAAAATCTCTAAAAAATATACTTGCATTCTAGAAATGTAGAAATTCAATATTACCGGGTTACAGAGTTATTTGAAATCTAGAATTACTGGAATGTAAAACTTAGAGAAATATTTTATTAATATTATCGAAAATAGAAGTTTTTGAATCTATTACTTATATATTTTTTTAATCTAGAAGTTTTGGAACCCATTTTAACAAATCCAGAATTTAAAAATAACATTATTTCCAGTTCAATAAATCGATAACCGTGTCAATCGACAAAGTCAATAATCGATAAATGTTGATAAATAACCGTTAAATCGATAAATCTCCGGAAGCAGATATTTATCGACGAATCTATTAATGTACCGGACCACAAATGGAATCTGTGAAAAAAAAGTGACTCCAGAGACAATCACCGTATAAGGTAATCACCATATCAGCAAAATAAATCATCAGATGTATTTATTTTATTATAATCGTTCCTGAAAACTAGTTTCTGTCTGACCATCCTCTAATGGACCTACTTTCTAACTTGCAAATATTTTTGCACACATGTAAATAAACTAATAAATAAACAAACTGCATATATATATATATATATATATTATAATGCCGGAGGATTTATGTAGGAGGAGTGTTTGGTTGGATTTTTTGCAATTTCACATGGGAAACCATTGCGAAAATTCTGCAATGAAATGCTGTGGAGATTTTATTTTGCAAGAAGTTGTTATAAAGGTCAATATATATGTATATATATATATATATATATATATATATATATGTAAATACATATATTTGCTATACTTCTATGATTTCGAAATTCTAGGATTCCAAAGAAATTTTCTATATTTATTGCTAAAGAATGAAATATCGAATTCAAAGTCGTTTTATTCAAAACTTTTATATCGAATTGTATAAAAGTGTTCCCTAGAAAATATTGTTAATTTTATCTAGTTTCACCCTGTCTAACTCACAAGGGGTGGTTTCATATGAAATTTTTGAGTTATTTGACAAAAACCAAAAAAATGACACGAATTTTCTATTTATTGCTAAAGAAAAATTCAAAAATCCTAGATTCTATATTTAAACAATTTTATAATTACATAATCCTAAACCCCAAAAATCCTAGATTCCTAAAATTCTAGTTCTACAAAATTTTACATTTAGAAAATAATAAAATTTAAAAATCCTAGATCCAAGAAATCAAAATATCCACAAATCCTAAATTCCGCTTGCTCAATTTCCATTAATTCTAGATTTTCAAAATCCAAAATATACGTTATTACTAGTTTCCAGAAATCATAATTGCCAAGAATCCAAAATTCTCGAAATCCCTGATTCCATAAATCTCTGATTCCAGAAATCTCTGATTCCATAAATCTTTGATTCCAAAAATTTCTGATTCTATAAATCTCTGATTTCAGAAATCTGATTCTAGAAATTTCTGAAACCATAAATCTCTGATTCCACAAATCTCAGATTTCACAAATCTCTGATTCCAGAAATCTCTGATTTCACAAATCTCTGATTTCACAAATCTTATATTTCACGAATCTCTGATTTCGCAAATCTCTGATTACACAAATCTTAGATTTCACAAATCTCTGATTCCAGAAATTTCTGATTACAGAAATATCAGATACCAGAAATTTCAGATTCCAGAAATGTCTGATTCCAGAAATCCTGGATTCCAAGAAATCAAGATTTTCAAAATTATGAACTTACAAAAATCAAAAAATCCAAATTATGCGTTTCAAAAAATCTAGTAAGTTCTTAAATCCAAAATCCCAGTTTCCAGAAATCCTAGATTTCAATTTAATATACCTAAAATCCTGCATTTTATTAATGATAAAAATTCCAAATAAAAATCCTAGGCACTTGATAAAAAATTCTGCATTTTACAAATTCCAGATACCAAATTCTAGATATTCAAGATTCACACTTTAAAAAGTCTGAAAACCCAGTTTCCAAAATTTTCGAAAATCTCAGAAATGCCAAAATTCAGATTCCAGACTTCCAGAAATACAACAAAATATTATCATTTAATTATTATTAACTTCCCGTAGGCTAAGCACAGTCTAAGCGTCACTCTGATACAAATGTTTACCCAAGTGCGTTTAGACTGCTTTTGATTCTGGAGCACTTTTCCAATTTTGTGAGAAAACTATTGAAAAATGTGAAAATGACGCCAAGCTGAGCACAGTATAAGTGAAAATGTCGCACAGAATTATTTGCGAATGCGGTTAGACTGTGACTATACGGGAGCACTTTTTCAATTTTGTGTAAATTAGGCAACTATTTTTTTCTGGAAATTGAATTCGAAATGAAATGACGAGATAAATTGATTTATGATTATAAATTGATTTATGATTTACATTTGATTTGCTCAAATATAACAAGATAGCAAAAATAATTAACCTTACAGTATTTGTTATTAACGTTTAAAATTTCTCGACTATTTCGTTACGGCATGGGAAGTTTTAGAGCAATTTGCCTTAAGGCACGATGCCATACACCACTAGTTTTACTTCTACTTTTATCTAATTTACTGATACATGTAAGTATTTCATACTTACTGTCTAATATAGAGAATTCAAGGATCAGTTCAATTTACCCGTTTCATCACCATCATCAGATTCTTTGCCTTCAACACTAGTTTCGTCTTCGGGTGCGATGTAGAAGTTCCAGACATTTTTTAGCAAAGACCAGGGACTTGCTGGTAATTTTTTGAGACCAGAATCTATCAGAGTTTCCAGGGAACTTCCATATTCTGTCACAGCTAGAAGAATCATTACTGCTGGTGCTGGTGCTGGACGAATCCTTGGCTGATGCTTTGTCTTGGGACGGCTGAACCTGAGAGGAAAGGGTAAATGATCCACTTTTATATGTTAATTTCTTCAAGAGTTTTTGTAAAAAAAAAATCCGGTTCGATTATTTAAGATTTGGCAAAGTTAGATCCGTGCGCTAGGGTACGAGCTCGGTCTCGCAACCATAGGGATACCGTGATATCATGATGTCACAACAATGGTATCAGATTTGTGCTTGAGTAAAAATGGCAAATATTCTGATGTTTACTTTTAAATATAATGTCGAGTTAATAAAGAACCTTTACATTCTGGAATAACATCACAAAGTCAAAAGAATGTTGAAAAATATCACAATTACAAATGACTTCTACCGGGTTTGCTTTCTACTATCTAACTGTTAACAAAAAATCTCTAGTTTGTTTTTTATATGTTTAGTTTTTTCAAGAGTTTTCGTACAAAAAAATCCGGTTTGATTATGTTAAGATTTGCCAAAGTTAGATCCGTGGCGCTAGAGTACGAGCTTTGGTCTCGCAACCATAAGGATACGTGATATCATGATATAATGATATCAAGTTTAGTTGGTTTTTTATATGTTAAGTTTCGTAAAAAGTTTTTGTACAAAAAAAATCCGGTTTAATTATGTTAAGATTTGGCAAAGTTAGATCCGTGGCGCTAGGGTACGAGCTTTGGTCTCGCCACCATAGGGATACTGTGATATCATGATGTAATGATATCAGATTTTTGCTTGAGTAAAAATTGCAAATATTCTGATTTTTACTTTTAAATATGACGTCGTGTTAAAAAAGAACCTTTAGATTGCTGCAATAACATCAAAAAGTTAAAAGAATGTTAAAAAAAATATCACGATTAAAAATGACTTCTACTGGGTTTGCTTTCTAATATCCAACTGTTAACAAAAAATCACTTTAGTTGGTTTTTTACATGTTTAGTTTCTTCAAGAGTTTTCGGACAAAAAAAATCCGGTTCGATTATGTTAAGATTTGGCAAAGTTAGATCCGTGGCGCTAGGGTACGAGCTTTGGTCTCGCAACCACAGGGATACTGTGATATCATGATGTAATGATATCAGATTTTTGCTTGAGTAAAAAATGCAAATATTCTGACTATTACTTTTAAATATAATGTCGAGTTAGAAAAGAACCTTTACATTGTTGCAATAACACTAAAAAAGTCAAAAGAATGTTGAAAAAGTATCACGATTAAAAATGACTTCTACTGGATTTGCTTTCTAATATCCAACTGTTAACAAAAAATTACTTAGTTGGTTTTTCATATGTCTAGTTTCATCAAGAGTTTTTGTAAAAAAAAAATCCGGTTCGATTATGTTAAGATTTGCCAAAGTTAGATCCGTGGCGCTAGGGTACTAGCTTTGGTCTTGCAACCGTAAGGATACTGTTTTATCATGATGTAATGATATCAGATTTTGGCTTGAGTAAAAATTGCAAATAATTTTTTTAAATTGCAAATTGTTAGGGTTTTACACACATGACGAGTAAACACATCAAAACGCAAAATTCTGCCACTTGTCCATGACGAGTATATTCGTCAATCGCATTTAACTGTAATCGTTTTTATTATTTTTTTTATTATTAATTTGGTCTAATTTATGATGATTTGGTTGAATTTTAATAATCTTGGGGCAAAGTTTTAACTTTAATTGATTGAAATTTTAGTAGAACTTAAAAAATGATAAATTTCTAGTTTTATTAACCAAAAATTGAAAAAACAAATGCTAGAGCATATTGAAAATATTGAATAATAAATATTTTGCATACTTAAAAACTGTAAAAAATTGTCAAAACTGTAAAAAATATTTCAAAAATGTAATAAAAATTGTTTCATATTTATTAAGTACTATCCAACTTCTAGTGCAATAAAATATATTAAATTTGAAGCTTGGGGTTCCTCAAGGCTCTATTGTGGGTCCACTCTTAATTGAATTTATATTAATATCCTAAAATTCATTGAGTTTATCATTTTTTAACTTTTCGCATTTTTTAGCAAAGACAGGTCTCGCCATTCTGAAGATACAGAGCTAAATGTTCAAAAAATGGCATTTTTGAGTGAACTAAGCGTCCGATTTGAATGATCTAAAAAAATTTCTGCTTGTATTGACAAAACAATTGCTTTTGAGGATAAAAATTATTACATTTTTTTTTATTTTCCATAAAATTTTTGTAATTTTGGATTAGAAATTCAAAAAATTACTCGGACTAAGCACAATCTAAGCGCCACTCTGGTGCAAATGTTTGCCCAAGTGCGTTTAGACTGTTTATGCACTGTAGCACTTTTTCAATTTTGTGAAAACTATTGAAAAATATGAAAATGCCGCCTTGCTAAGCACTGTATAAGTGAAAATGTCGCACAGAATTGTGCGACAAATGCGTTTAGACTGTGACTTTACGGGAGCACTTTTTCAATTTTGTGTAAATTAGGCAAGTATTTTTTGAAATTGAATTCGAAATGAAATGACGATTGTTAATGTTCTGGAGATAAATTGATTGAAGATTTACATTTGATTTGCTCAGATATAACAAGATAGCAAAAATTTGAAACCGTTTAAAATTTCTCGAATATTTCATAACGGTACGGGAAGTTCGAGCAATTTGCCTTAAGGCACGATGCCATACACAACTAGTTAAATTTGTATTGCCATAAAGACTCACCAAACAAGACACGTACTCTCCCAAACTTCCAAAACACTTGGAAAAGTGATCATAATCTTGGTAGTTTCGAAGCCATCTGATTTGGATCCTGGAGGATTGATGATGTCTTCACCTTCTCGCTCAAATTTGGACATATCATCATCAGAATCTTCCTGGTTTTTGGAAACATTTTCAGAGACATCTATTTTATCTAACATTTGATCAGTAGAAATTGGCTCCTGCTTATTCAATGGTTTAAAAGGTTGATCATCAGTGATCTTGATAGTAGACGTACTTGGTTTCGGAGTAGTCTGCACCAAAGCTGCTGAAATTGGCTTAAATTTTGGCCTAATTGTAGTTACAACTTGGTCAAACAGTTTAAAAATTTGTTGCTCCTTATACTCTTCACTCGGAGCAACTGTACTTTTTACATTAGTTGCTGGTTTGGGTTTAAAATTTGGCAAAGATGGTCTAAAGGGTTCATCCTCAAGAGGCACCAAAGGTTCTTGTCGACTTTCCACTCTTGTTAGTAATGGTCTAAATGAATCAACATCATCTCCTACAGGTTTCCAAGAATTACCAGAGAAAATTTTTTGGGCATCGTAATTTTTTGAGGCATTTTGTGCCAAGTTGACTTGCCTAGGCATCATGTGATTGTAGGCTAATTTTATAGGTAAAAACTGGAACGGCGGAGGATTTGCGTATTGGTCATCCTGATCCCGGAATTCAGCTACATCATCATTGTTTTCTCTAAAATCTGCATCTGATTCCTCACCATCATTACCATTATTATCAAGGCCATATCCAGTCGAATAATCCTGACTATCTGATGGATTATACTCGTATTTGAAGGCTTGAGTGGCATTATCGGCTATTGTTTTGTTTTCTGATGTATTAACGCGAACTTTAGCCAAAGTTTGTATTTGTTTTATAGATTGCTCCGACAATTTGTCAACTTTTGGCTGATTTGGAGCCGTTGACACTAAGGAAACCGACAGCAACCACACTGCCAAAATTGTGAATATCATTGTTGGTCGATGCATTTTTGCAATTGGACACAAAATTTTTGAAATTGGTGAGCGATTTGTTGAAGATACTGATTTTGGACGTGTTGAAGATACTGAATTTCGATGCCAATTGTGGAATTTGCACCTATGTTGGCACCAGATGAGGATAAACCAGGATTCTGCCTTCAATTTGCTAAATCAATTCTCTGGAGTAAACAAGCAAAATATCCAGTTTATTATAAATATAGGTCTTTTATTATAAATTTGGTGATACACACTGGTTCTCAAAGTTTCAATAAAATATCCACCAATGGTTCTCAAAGTGTGTATTTGGAAATAATTAGATCAAATTCTAAATTGTTGGCACCAGAGTAAATATTATTTGGTAAACGCAGAAGCTCCAAAAACAATAGTAATCCAGTTTTTTGTTGCTAAAAACTTCGGACAAATCTTCTGAATCTCAGTGGTTCTCAAAGTTTTATTTAAATCTCAACCAATGGTTTTCAAACTCTGTTTTCGTGAATAATTGGAATAAAATTCATTCACCTTTTAATCGTTTGTTTGGTTCAATTTGTTTGAAATTGTAGTATTACAATTGGTAGATTTAAAATTAATGGAAATTTTGTAACATACCAATGGTTCCCAAACTTTTAACAAAATTCTGTCGCAGTTATTCTCAAACTTTTAGCTTTGGGTTGAAATCAGTTTTGTGATGTTTACAAGCAAAATATCCACTTTATTGTAAACCAAAGAATTTTCGTAAATGAGGTGCTCTACACTGGTTCTCAAACTTTTAAAAAAACACACACCAATAGTTCTCAAACTGTGTATTTGTAAATAATTAGATTAAAATCCAAATTGTAAAGTTGACACCAAATGTTTTTTGATAAATGCAGAAGCTCCAAAAACAATGGTAATCCAGTTTTTTTTGAGTTCAAAAATTTATACAAATCTTCTGAATCTCAGTGGTTCTCAAACTTTCAATTAAATCTCAACTAATGGTTTTCAAACTTTGTTTTTGTAAATAATTGGAATAAATTGCATGCGTTTGTTTGGTTCAATTTGTTATTCCAATTAGCAAAATATCCACTTTATTATAAACAAAGAAATTTTCGTAAATGAAGTGCTCTACACTAATTCTCAAACTTTCAAAAAAACATATACCAATAGTTCTCAAACTGTGTTATTCATAAATAATTTGATTACAATCCAAATTGTAAAGTTGAGAGTAAATGTTTTTTGATAAATGCAGATGCTC